AAATGACGTTTCCGCATTTATTTCTGATCTACTATAGTTAAATATATATATATATATATATTACGCATTTTGGCGTTTATTGAAAATACTTATTTACATGTTATTTCGACTTAAATAGCGCCTTGTGTTAATGAAAAATTGGGGCGTTACAATGCATAGCCGAAAGAGGGACCCATTGAACTCTCACTGTCAATGTCCCCTATTTTCTATACATCCGACGACCTTAATACTCTTCAAACGGCCACCAGTGTTCTCCTCACCAGCACTCACTGTTGTTTGCATAAAAATGATGAATGTAGACAGGAACGGACCCAGCACCCGGCCGAGGGGCGGCCGCGCGTGCTGGGATCCGCCGGAGTAGTTTTTGAGAAGAAGTGGCGATTGGCCAGGCACTGTTCATCTTCCTTCCGCCGGACTGGTTCATCTTCCTACCTTCTGGTTCTGGTTTCTTTCTTTCTTTTTTTGTTTTTATATTACAATGGGCCGCTGCTGCCCAACCCACTAGCCATTATCTTTTTTATTTTTTAAATTGGATTGGCCGATTGGGCCTTTGTTATTTCAGTTGGGTGACCAGCCCAAGTCCAACCTTTTTCCCCAAATCAAATTAAAATGTGTGGTATAGAAATTCAATCGCGCTTCAACCAACGTCCAAGACTCCAACTCCAAGGCGATTCCGATATCACTCCTGCCGAGTTCCGCCACAGCCTGCACGTTCGTCTTCGCCACCACCACCGACCGGAGACCGCAAGTGTGAACGCCTGCAGCAACTAGATTTTTTCTGCCCGGAAGCTGTGTTTTTTCTTTTCTGCCCACGTTTTTTTTTTCTTTTTGGTGTTATTATGTATTTATGAGTTATGGAATTGTGATTAAGGATAATTTTCAGTTTATTTCAAGTATGATTTATGAATTTGAATTGGGGGAATTGATTTGGAATTAGGGGAAATTAAAATTGGATGTGGAATTGGAATTGGAATTGGAATTGAGGGTTTGGAATTGGATTAGGAATTGGGGAAATTAAAATTGGAGATGGGTGATCGTTTATT